GCCCAATAAAAACGCTGGGGATAACGACGAAAGAAGGAATGAATTTATGATACTTTCTGTTCCCTGAACAGTCAATATATTTCTCTCCAGGAAGAACTCTCCGCTTCATCCGACTACTTCACCTTATTTGACTCTTTCCCATTATGCATAACATTTCGCATCGTACCCTCTCGACAGAGAACCATTTCTGGAAATTACGAGCTTCGCCATCCTCGGCATATATACAAAATAGGATCTCGTTTTCATTTCGTCCCATTTTTCTCAAGGCATTTTCCCCCTTCTCAGTCCTCTTTAGGTAGCCAAACCAGGACGTTTTACGTAGAAATAAGACTAATCAGAAGAGTGACTAGGTGTCGTTATTGATCTGATGAGATACACGTCTATTCCTTCGCTTTTATATTTGTTGTTTGAGCAATTTCTAGTAGAAAGATGAAATTGGTTGATGATTTAGTTAGTATATCAGGGGGATATGTGGGATTCATTATTGCCTCTGATTTTGTATCATTGTCTTATGGTGTGATTTTCTTGTTTTTCAATGCATAAATTTTCGTGGGGAGTGTTTTGATGCGGTGAGCTTTTCAGGGAATCTGTGGAGGGGTCCATGCTTCGCAATATGGATTGAGCGGGACCATCCTGACTGACAAAATTTTCTATGTCGGAAGCAATCTGTCCACTGACGTCCGAGTGAAGAGGCTCTTAGGATCTCTAGATAATCCCATCGTAGGTCTAGCGTCACACTCCTGCCCATTTTACCGCGTCAAAAGGCCCAAAATTATACCCACACCAACCAGCTACAGCTAAATGTTACAATTAAAATGAAATTCGTAATAGAGCGACGCAACCTCGCGAGACTAGGCGAACTAGAGACATGAATACACAGTGTGAAACAATGCGTGGGACGGAATAGGGGCTCTTCGGGACGTGGAAGCAGACTTGTGCAAAACGTGATAGAGAGAGCCAACGAAAGGAAGCCGTTGAGACAAAGGCGGATAGAAGCCCAAATATCGGTTCAGTGAAGCACTATCGTTCTTGGATGGCGCTGATACTGGAACTCAAGAGACGGAAAAGGTTCTCGTTGTTGCTGCTGATGCAGCGAGGTAATGATAAATTATTCTCGAAATGTTCGGGTTCTCATAAGGGTTCTAATTCAGGATGTCGACAAATTATGGGTACAATTTTAAAGTTGTATTGCTTCGAAGGGAATACTCATTGAAAGGTGAAACAAAAACCAAAATATGCAGAAACACTTCAAGTTTAGTGCCGCTTGGATATGAAGTTCGCATTCATTCCGACGGTGGCACTAAAACCACGAAAACAAATGACGGGTGTTACGTGAACTGAGAAAGTACCTTCATCAATAAATTATTCCTGAAAAGAAACTGGTTGTCTTCGTCACTGTAAAGGTGGCGGAGACCGGAGATGGGCAAGGACACTATTGAGAACGTACGGGCTGCTTTTCTAAGGGCGCTACATTCTTCGTAAATCCACCAGTAGTGCCAGCAAAGAACGTCTGTTACCTAACGCAGCGTTCTGGATAATTTTGAGGAAAATGCTGATTTTGAAACCAAAGTAACTTCAGTTGTCGCAGGTCGTGACAGGAAATGAAATGGTTCGATTCCCCTGTTTCCTGTCTCTGTATCAACGAACTGTTTATGCTACGCATAAAAAGCTGGTCTTCAGGGGGGGGGGGGCTCATCGTCTACTTAATACGAAAACGACGTTTCGTACAGAAACCCAACAAAACGTATTTCTTTAAAAGTGCCACTTCTGATGGAACATTCAGTTTTGTTGTTCGCTAACGGACTGCCGACGAGTATTGCATATAGTATCCAGCATGCGGTACAGTACAAGTAAGAATCCGGTTTCAACCATCTGGCCGATATGAAAGATGATACTGGGAGATTCCCAATTTCAATCAGACATGCAGGGCTTCGCTACAGCCAAAAATCGGCGAAGGACTTCATCTTTAAGTAGGCGGCCAATCGAATTTGGTCAATACGCTCGCTGTCATGTAAAGTGATGAGTACCTTATTACGAATTAAATCATGAATTACTTTTAATTTTCACGTAAGTCATGAATTATCCAGTGTATGATATGCATGCACTATGTCTTCTTGGGGAGGCAAATCTTGGCCTTATCCCGGTTCTTCTTGGTATTATGCGCCCAGCGACCCCAGCCCTTGAAACCTCCCGTCCTCCGAGGTATTGAGCCATCACTGACTCCACTTACCGATTTTAACTTAATTCTGAGATGATATCCCGTAAAAATCCATGTCCCATTGGATGATTTGACATGACCCCTATGAACTTGAGGGACTCATAAAGAAGACCCGAAACTTTTACCCCTTGTAAATCAGTCTCCCATCTTACAGTTTTTCAAGAAAATGAATTATTTAAAAGGAGGTATCTCATAGACATCCATTTCAGGATATCCAGAAGACGGCTAAAGATGTCTGAGAGACGTCCTAAAGACATCCTCCTAAAAATACCGAAGAGCAGGTCAGACTCAAGATGTCATGTGAAGACCCTGGGAGAAGTCGTCTAGTTGGAGGAAATATTTGTGTTGTGTGGTAGCTGTAATCTCTCTCTTAACGGCCAACAATGCCTCCCTTCTTTTCTTTGGGAATGAAACAAGACACTCCTCCCAGAGAAGTCTTCCAAGAAGGTGCAGGCATTGTCATTGGCTTTGAGACCATCGTTTATTCTGGGACTTTTGTCCGGTCCTTTCTCGATGATGTCGTTCTCCCAGCCAATTCAAAGATGTGGACATCGAGAAAAGGAAGAAACTCGCTCGAGAAGGAAATACAAATTTTCCAGATAAATTAATATAATTGCGTGATGTGACAAGGTGACCTCTACTTGAAACCCACCCTCATGGGTAACAAGACGTCAATGCATTTTCGTGACCCGCAAACAAAGGCACAGTCCATGGAATCGGAAGATCCCAACACTCCAAATTGATGAGTGTCACGCTGAAAAATCTGCTGCGAATGTAATATACCTTATGTTTTGGGACATAATTTCACAATGATGCTTTTGAGACCTCAGGATCCAAAGGTTTCTCTCCTAAGGTAATGGAAATAATCAGAGAAGGCTGGTTGGTTGCAATATCATTTCATCAATTTTTGCAATTTCGAAAGTCGGCAATTGGTTTCAGGCGCACTTATACATTTATTACTAGCGTACTTATACATTTATTACTAGAGTTTGTTTGCCCTTTGAGCAAACAAACTCGCTATGGTCGCGCCTTCGGCGCTCCATTACCTTGGATAGTGATTAACCTTCCTATTCCGTTTGGGTCTATTTGACCCGAAGCACTTATTCAACCCGATGTAACTTCGATGCATTTCATCGAAAAAATCTGCTTTTTTTTTCTTTTCCTAACTTTTCGAATATATTTACGACCTCAAAGCCGAACTCATTTCCATGAAGCATTACTGAAATATTTGTGATAGCCCCTCCTGTTATGCTTGGGTCTATTTGACCCGATTGCCAAACTAGTGCATTTTCAACACGGGTTACACTATCTTGAACCTTCTCGGAACAAGCTTCCGGAGCACTTGCTGTTGAGAAAGGAACTGATTCTCAGTCAAGTGTTCTGCCAGTTTTGGGAAAGTGCGGATTCAATCTGGTTTCGGCTACAAGAGCCCATCCGGGTCGCCGCGTGACTTCTTGTTGCATTACACCCTCTCGGAGCATCTTCTTCTCTCCGTCCTTCTGTTGCTGCGTTTGCCTTGTCATGTCTCTCATGTTTTTCAGAGACGGTATGAAATACACGATGGAATCAACACTTTTTTGCCTATGGGAATCTGAACTTTACATATGACTTTGAGAAAACCTAATTAGACATTTTCCTGACGTGGCACATGCACAGCACTCAAAGGTTAGCGAGCACATGCTAATAAGGGGAGGCCGTTGGACTCATTACATATCACATGTGCGTCTTGTAACGACTCACCGCTTTTGCCGGCTCTCACTCACAACCATTTCACTGCATTATCTAGGCACCGCAAAGTTACAATGGAAAGACCGCTCTGGTTAGGGCTACTAGGAAATTTTTCTTTTCGTCCCTCTGCATTCACCACTACTTCTACACTGTGTTGAAGCATGCATGCAATGCTTAATTGTTGACCAGTTATAGTAAGCTCCGCTAACATAGTGGTTTTCTCGCTGCTTCATGCAACATTAAATTATTTTGGCGAGACGTACGCAGTGGTGTATTTTTCGGGTGTGGTTGTAGGGGAAGGGGGGGGGGGGGGGGGTAACGCATGCTTCTCGCTTCCCCTCCGCCACCCTCGGCACCCCATGGAGGCCCCATTTGTCTTCCCTAATATCTTTCGAGTAGGGTTTGGGTCCCTGCTCGGCTGAAATGTTCCTCCCCCTACCCACTGCTCTCGTGTCAAAATACGCCACTTGATGCACGCATGCAAAATTGTTTTCTATTGTATCCGATCGTCACATTGTTTTTCAGTAGTTCTTCACCACCGTTGACACCTAATTCTGAGTATTCCCCTCAGGTATCCCATAGCGAAGGAGCTATAAAAACAGTCTTTTAAAATGTGATTCCAAAAAGAGTCAAATATTTGCAACTTACTCTTTTTTTTAAAATAAGTTTATTTCTGTTCCTGTTCCCTCAGAAATTGCGCTGCGATATTGAATGTCACAGGAAATGAGGAAAACCATCCTAGACAACGAATAGATGCGTCAAAATCTCAGAAACCTGTGTCAACACGTTGCATGGTAATGCAAAATATACGAAATCTAACTCTCAGTCATCTATGTTTTAATAATCCGAGAGAATTTATCCCCAAAGTCTGAATTTTTCTGGACTAAACATCCCCATCGATAATTACGTAGCAAGTTTCATCCTCCCAGCATATCTAGGAGATGTTAGAATTTGCGTCAGGCAGTCACTCAGTCAGTAACGACCGTCTATATATTAATATATTATATATTTTATGGTGTTAATATTACTATTAACTGTTCCACCGACGCATGCATCATTCTTCAAGTCCTTCATGTCCTAGTGGCTGGAGTCCCTCTCGATGTGTTCTGGTGGCTGATGTCTCCTTGTGCTGCCTGAGCGTCCAGATGTAAAGAGTGGGTTCCTATTAAAGAAGGATATGAAACGTGATGATGGAAACACCTCGTATTTCGTATGCTAAAAGTGGCATTCAAGAGACTACCAATGCTCTGTGGTCACGGGAAAACATATTCCAAGCAATTGTGTTGTCATTTTGCATCATTTGCTGGTCATCGGAGATGGAAGTCTTCATTTCCTTTACGACAGCCCGATTCCAATCAGGGGGAACCATCAGTGAGAAAGCACGAAGATCCGGCGTTGCCTTTTAGGAGGAAAAAAATAGGTCTTAGCTCAATGAAACAAAAGCCTTGACTCAAGTATTACCAAACAACCAGTGAATAATGCTGAGATTTGATCTTTGCCGAACACCCGAAGCATGTGAACCAGACCGGAAAGGGTGAACAATGTCGCAATAATAAGAGACATGTCACTTTTGGAGTTTACTTTTCAGACACACTAAGTTTCAGCTTGATGAATCACATATGCTCTCTGTGTTCTCAAGGTTGCAACGCTATCCTAATCCTTCTTACTGATATCCCCATTGTAAACTACATCATGTGTGGTCTTTCATCACAGAAGCATCTTCTTCAATGGACTTTTGTCGCAAGATAACTTAGTTGCCAGATATATACGCACTTAGCCTCTTCAGAAATTATTTGAAGAGCATTTAGAAAGAGGCTATACATACATTCTTTGGAAACAGTGGGACCAAGAGGTGGATCTTTCCATCTCAAGTGAGGTGATGTGCTCGACCGTCTCAGAATTCAATGAACTTTTCAAATTTAACTTTTAAGGGGAATGTTGGATCCAGCTGATAATTGACAGAGAGGTTCATGAGTCTAAAATGTCTTTTTTCACTTCACCAAGATGGTGCTGTATCCCGATAGAGGGCGCTGTTGTTGACCGGGTGACCGAGGGTGATAAAATCGGGTAGTTTATCTACTCAAAACCAGCTACTGGTACTTTTCCAGCAATCAAATAGAATCTTGACCAGTGTAACTACTTACTCATGTTCCTCGAAAAAGTCTCAACCTTGGCCCTTGGAACACAAGAACAAAGGTGGAATGTATAATAGTAGGATCACACTTGGAGGTTTCGGGGAAATAGTGGACAGCATGCGTAAACGTGTCACTTCAGTTATTCACGTAAAACGTATTCTGATAAATGGTTGGCCTGGTGCTAAAATGACCCCTATGTTCCCCTATGTACCCCCCCCCTCCCCGCAATTTCGCGAGGAGTTCGGACGCTTAGTAGATGAAGGTACTTTAGGGGCTTGTATGAAACACCAAATAATGTTATTGAATGCTGATTCAAACTTAACCAGGTTTAAATTGGAATTACAGTGCGTTGAAGTATCGGAGCAGCGCTTCCTTTGATGACAAAATCCTGCCTCCTCACCTGCTGGCACAAGTATCCGAGATCTGGCCCAAGCGGTTCCTTGCAATGCTGCATATCCTTAGCATTAGGGGACCATCCCAATCCTGCATGCATACGGACGTGCATTTGGGTCACACCGCTAGACTTCTGGAATCGAAATCCAAGTGCCTCAGTATGACCTTTGAAGTAACGGGGGAAACAATCATGTACAATCGCCTTGAAGTTGTGGACTATTGTGACTTCTTCAGTATGAAGGGTGTCTTCCCTCTCTCTTGTCTGAGATTTTCCGTGCAAGTTTATCATATCTGGTGTTAAAAGGAAAGAAGATAAACTGTAAAAACAAAAAGTGGTGAAAATACTCAGTAATTGACTCATTACTGCGCTGTATCAGGTCAACAAATGGTGTATATACTTTTATAAAATTTTGACATGAACTGTCCTAACGCTTAAGTCCTACTTTCTGACTTTTTGCTGCCATAACTCTGAAACACTACAATATATCTGTAATTCTATTCCTCTCCTGAAAGCAATGGTTAGTCTTTTTTGTCACAAACTGCCAGTAAATTGATTCGCAATAGACTCAGTAATACAATATTGAATCAAGCTCACCCTTTGGGGCTCTTTTTGTCTTTCAAATTTTCCAATCTCTTTTGTACTCAATGAAATTTCCGTTTGTCTTCATGACTTATACAATTCTCCTCTAGAGACCTTGAATTAGTTTGAAATATTCCGATCTGTGAATAATGCTCCATTCGACATCGTCTCGCGACCGAAACTCGCGCATGTGGTTCGCCCCGGTCTCATGTTCATTTATCTATCCCTTCAAATGATCCTTCAAGTTCTTCCTGGATTCAAGGTAAGGAGATTGCGACAGCCAATCTGCGAATTGTATGATTTTCTTGCTGAACTACTTCTAAAGAGATTTTGCAGCTTGCGTTGGATGAATCTTCTTTTGGATGATGACTTGATCCATATTGAGCCGGCATTGGTTGGTGGCTCCCTAGTGATTGTCTTCCAGGATGTAACAATAGAGGTCAGCAATGAGTCCACTATCTCTTCAGCACTGATTCCCCCCCCCCCTTGGCTCTCGTGCATCCTCGAACCATCAGAGTGCTACCACTATGTTTCGCTGTGGGTTGGGCATGCAGAAGTCCGGGTATTTCAGGTAGTTTCTTGCACCATTGTCCCATTGCTTCCAAATCGGTAAATTTTGCTATCGTTTAACCAGGTTTCGAAAGGCTTTCCGTCCAACCGTTGTATTTGAAAAGAATATATTGTGCAGCCTTGATGTGTCTTGGCGAGAGCATACGTTCTTGACCTTGGGCGGAATCTTAAAACAATTTTTGTGAAGAAAGTTCCTCAAAAATTAGGACCCGGAATTGGTCTTCAAGGTTAGATTTCAGCGCCTTGCTACAGGTGTAGCGACCTCACCAGAAGGAGCTCGTCTCGCAATTAAGGGTTTCTAGAACCGTGAAATATGGCATGCACCTTTGACTTTACTGCCTTTGAAAGTTCAATTTTTTGGTAACCAGAAACATTATTTCAATGATCGATTAATTAATCAATTGCTTTATAGAGGAGCGAGACACACAAAAAGGCGCAGTGTCCTAATAAGTGAACTTGATACAATTTTCGATAAAAAAAAGGCGGAGTGTCCTAATAAGTGAACTTGATACAATTTTCGATATTTCAACCCATAGTAAAGCAACTAACAAAGGACTTACACTCAGACACAAAACTGTCTGCATGTTCGGCACCATCCACTTTGGGTCCAATTATCTCGGTACAGGGTTCTTGAATTACTCAGTGTGACATACCCTTTGTAGCCAAACTCTTCTTCATAAGTGTCTAAAGTTTCATCAGAATCCATGCCGCGGTTATGTATAAATCACAAATGAAAGCAAATTACTGCATTCGGACAGTTTTTTTCATGTTGCTCTGGTCCCGTCTTGTGCATATGCTGTCACGTGAAACACGACGAATTATTCAGAGAATCACGAATTTGTATGCACTGAGGTTGAGCAAATATATTGTTTGTCACGTGCTTAGCTGAGCTCGTGGCCGTGGCTCGAGTTTAGAAGCCGTCCTCCTCTACACACAAAATTTTTTTTACATGAAAATGCTGTGTCGAAAGTTGTCCCTATTACGACACAATTTGAATGTGCAGAATTTTCAACACAATTTGAATGAGTCGAAAGGTGTGTCCCCAGAGGCTCTGAAGTGGTCAAAGTGGACCGCATCCATACAGCAAAGGTTTCATGTAAAATTAGAGCCACAGAGTGAGGTATCACAGGGATTACTTTGCTACCAGTTCATCATGCTATGTAAGCACACGTAATTTACAGGCGTGGTGTCCTAAGTGTCGTAAGAAAGAAATATCAGGGCTATGCCTGGTGCCTGTTTGGATTTCCAGCTGCATTCCTGGGCCTATTGGCGAAACCCAGCCCAAGAATCAGCAATGAAGAGACCTGTAAATCGAAGAGGACGGATGAGTAGTTTACTAGGAAGTATCGCACGCCTAGGACTTGCTATATAACAAACTACATCAAGAATCGTGCTTAGGGTCAGTTACAAGAGGTCAGATGTCCCAACATTATATTGAATGACACACCACACGGAAGTCCGCACTTGAAAGAGATGTATAGTGACCGCATCGCTGGAGTCAGTAATGTAGTTCCAACATTAGGCGCTCGGGCGTCGAGTAGTCCCCATCAATGGTCTATTTTAGATGGCAGTTAGATATGCTATGAATACGCTATGCCTTTGTTGTATAGCAGAATATATCATTTTTGGTGTCTTTTTCATACATTCTTTTTGAATTAAGCAAAGGGAAAGTCGAAGAGCGGAATGACAGGCTTGGAGAACGCATGAATACAATTCCCCTCAGGCATTTTCCCCCTCTCGGAGCCTCTTAGGTTGAAATGTGCCAAATCGACACACCACCATCGTTTCTCCAGAATTTCGACACACTTCTGGCCCGGAAGAGTCCCTTAGGGTGGAATGAAGCTCTTCCAGAAGTTCAAAATGTGTCAAAATGCGTGTTCGTCATCAAAAACACAAGAAGTGTGTCCAAATGACCAGACGAGTACAAAATATGTCGCTTCGACACACCATAAGTTTGGTGTGTAAGGATGTCTTTTTTCTTCTTCAGTGACATCCCTGAACTCAGTCACCATGCGTGCAATTCATGACAGCACCCTGTGAAACGTGTTCTCTATAGAGGGCTATAGCCTCAGGGAGATTGCCAAGTGATGCAACGTCGGCAGATCGTTAGTTCAAAAGATCCAGAAAGAGCTTTTTTTATCGCAAAAGGTCGAAAGTCCGTCCCCAGAAGCTGTAATCTTAAGATCAGCAGTTCTGCGTCCTTGCGATTACCTCTGGGAAGCTGGAAGCAGCCACACAGTCGCCACGAAGTTCAAGGACGATATGGAATTCGACATAAGCGTGATGACCATTCGCCGATCCTCCATAAAACTGGTTTAAGTACAGCAAAGAATAAAAAAAAGCCGAAACTCTCGCCAGTAAATACCAAGGCCAGCCTGGAGTTCGCCAGAAGCCACATAGATTGGACGATTGATGAGTGGAAGTGAGTCATTTGGTGGTATGAGACCAAGATCAACCGTTTTGGTTCAGATGGGCGTGCCTTGTACTGGAAGCGTGAGGGCGAACGTCGCCAACCTCGACACGTCAAGCAGGATGTCAAGCACGGAGGCGGCAAGATCATGATCTGGGCTGCATGACAATCAAGGAAACTGACTACATGTGCAAGATCAACGGCACTATGGATCAGCAGCACCACAAATCCATCCTGGCGGACGAATCCTGGCTAAGCGATCGACTGGTATGATCTTGACGTCAACAGAGTGATTTTCCAGCATGACAGCGACCCGAAACCTAAAGCGAAGAGCATCCAACAGTGACAGAATCAACAGCCGTCTGATATCCTGGAGTGGTCAGTTCAGTCTCCAGACCTAACATCCTAGCATCCCAGACCTAGCATCTCTGGGCACACCTCAAGCGGGGCCTCACATAGCACGAGGAACCTCCCATAGATATGCTGGTGGTGTGGGAGCGGGTACAAATAGAATGGAACAAAATCGACTTAGAAATATGTCGAATATTTGTGGAAAGCATGCCTGGGCGACTTGAGGCTGCGATTAAAGCCAAAGGGATGTGGACAGAGTATTGAATTTGTTAAGCAAGTGAATAAAGTTGGATTTTTTTGGCATTGGGGACAAAACTGTCCGAATGCAGTAGTTTCCTTTCAGTTGTGATTTATACATAACCGCTGCATCGATTCTGATGTAACTTTAGTCACTTATGGAGGAATGGTTTGGCTACAAAGAGTATGTCACACAGAGTAATTCAATTCAATTATCCTACAGCGAGCTTATTGGTCCCAAAGCGGATGTTACCGAACATGCGGACAGTTTTGTACCCAGTGTATGTCAAACATGAGAAAAAACCTTGTTATCAGAAGTTATTGATTTTCTTGTACCTCATCTTGTCGAGGAGTTATGGCAGCACAAATTAGCAAGTACGGAAAATTAAGATGGTATATGCCATCACCGTATAACCCCCACTTCATAAGAATGGAATTCCAGGAGAACCATGTGTTCATGGTCATTAACAATTATGAATATTGCAGACAGTATTTAATATTTTTTTTCCTGACTCACTACCTTTGGATCTGGTGCTGACAGACGTGGACTTACTAAAATATTTTGTAAATTGTTTTCTTGCTTTGCTCAGGAAGTACATGTGTACTATCTGTTTATATACATTAGAAGCTAATCTGTTTGTTTGTCATTCTGGGAAACTTCTCCCAAACAGATGAACTAAGTTTCATGAGTCAGATGTCGATAGAAAATTATGTCCTGGTGGCGACACTTACTGGGTTAATAAGTCAAGAAAGGCTTACTATTTAGACATAATAGCGCCATGTTTTCGCGATAAGTGTAGCTTTTCATGAAATGCCTTCCAGGCGAGGTGCTCAAGACCAAAATGAGAACGATAGATTTAACTCTACGAACGTTGTTGCTATGGCAACAGCTAGCAATGACTTCATAAGCCATACTTTTGTTGTGTTAGCAGCAAGGCCCGGGTCTTGCTGCCTACCCCCCCCCCCCTGTTTAATATGGATTGATGTAAATACACATCCATGGACTTTTGCCAATATTTGGGATCGATTTGAGAATGTTAGAACTGATAAGGATGACTATTTAAAAAAAAGGTATATGTACGTAGTTGGAACTTACCTTGCTCTGCGCATGTATCCCGATTTGACATGGAGCTGAGGAGATTGACAATATCTTCATTTGGGTGCCCAGCAGGGTTGAAGTTAAAGATCACCTTTGAAGAAACACATGTCAAAGATTTTATTCATTTTCGTAAGTTTCTGACAAATTATTAAAGAAAGTTAGGTTAGGTTACACACACATCATACTTATCCAATCTCAGATATACGAGCATTTGTATCGGTAATTCTCTTTCTAGTAAGGGAACCATTGTGTATACAGTATACGAGGAGCGTTCAAGATCAAACTGGATTACTTTTTTACGCAAGGTAAATTTGTTTTATGTTGGCAAGTCTCTTGGAACTTTCAGATCAGAATGTTGGCTATCTTGACCAGCAGTCGTTATTTGTCTATGTGAACAGCCCACGGAGTATTCAAGATGGACGTCAGTGGAGTGTCGAGTGCCGTTGCGCAGCACATTATTATTAAGTTTCTCTGTGCGAAGAACACCTTAGCGGCTGAAATTCATCGCAGGCTCGAAGCTCAGGTCAAGGATGAATGTTTGTCACGCTCGTCCGTGTTTGGGTGGTGTAAAGCGTTCAAAGAAGGGCGTCAATCTGTTACGAACTTGCCTTTAACTGCTGTGAACCCAAGCAAGATCGCACGTGTTGAAGTGCTCATTCGCAATGATCGACGAATAACAATGCGTGAATTGGCTACACGTCTCGTGCGCACACCCTCTCTGGGGTGTATTGGTGCACCCATGTCTCGTCCGATGTTAGAATTGTGGCGAGAAACTCTTCGCCTTCCTGTTCATACCGCTGGAGAAGCAGCTTCTCCAGCGGTCGAACCCGGACCTCCTGAGTGCAGGTCGGATGTGCTACTACAACACCACCGAATCCAAGACATCCAATTGGCTTTCTGAATGCCGTCCTCATCTGTCACAATATATATTTAAGAAGAACGTTTTCCCCCAAAATTTGTACCCCCAGGGCATGCACCTCCAGAATTGGATTTTTTCTGAACTATGCATCCCAAAAGGTACATGTGTACCAAGTTTCATATTTTAAACTTTTTTTGAACACGGAGAATATCCCCATGACTCCAACTTTTGCACAGAAGTGTTACTCCGTTCACTGGTACATATGAAACATTACCTGAAGAACAAGCTGTTTATCGATCATTGCGAATGAGCACTTCAACACGTGCGATCTTGCTTGGGTTCACAGCAGTTAAAGGCAAGTTCGTAACAGATTGACGCCCTTCTTTGAACGCTTTACACCACCCAAACACGGACGAGCGTCAGTCAGTCAGTCAGTCACGATCGTCTATATATATTAGATGGATAGGGTCGAACGCAGTCATTACCTTTTTAAATATGGCTGTCTCTACAAGCAAATGTGCGATAGCGCACATATACTTGCTCTTGCATTCTCTGGCGGAGTTATCCATGTCAAGAAACAGCTTGTTCTTCAGGTAATGTTTCATATGTACCAGTGAACGGAGTAACACTTCTGTGCAAAAGTTGGAGTCATGGGGATATTCTCCGTGGTCAAAATATGCAAATTCCTGAGTCGCCTTTCCAGTGTAGACGATTACTACTGCAAGGAAATAAAATTATTAAAGAACCACGTCATTACATGAATTCACTTGACATATAAGTTAATGCAACTTCGTAGTGCAAATGAATATTGGAATGCAAGTCTAATATAGCTTTAATTTAATTGAAATTAAATTAAGTGAATCTGATGACATTGAAATTAGTCTGCAGAAGTCGGAAATATACTTAAAGAATGAATGGTAATCAAATTTCTATAAAATGCTGACATGGTTCAAGTCTTCAATAAGAGTACTCACATTACACCCAATGCAATTTTTTTTCGTCCATGTCTGGTGTACGAATAGCTTGTGCAGTCACCTTCATGATTTCATTGTATCACTTTCTGAGCTTCATCTTACGAAGAAAAAATAGTGACAAATACGAAGTTTGGAAAGGTTACTTTCTATTGAAAGTTTGCAATAAAGGTATTCCGATTCAAGTGGTAAAGAAGCGGTTAGGCTTCAGACTTCGATTCACTTTTTAAAAAATGCATGCATGGCGGTCAGCGAAAGTCATGACATTTTTTATAAAAAAAATATTGACCTTTAAATTTGGAATGAGTCCCCAAATATAACATTCTGAAGAAAAAAATTCAGTGGAAAGGTCCATGTTTTCGCTAGAGATAGGAAAAATACAAAATATTAATATTTTTTGTGTTTGAGAAAACAATTTTTGAATCAGCCCATCCGAACAACCTATGCTTTATTGGGCAGGGGTTGCGCTAGGTTTCTTGCCGTAGGGGTCCCCAGGACGCTCATGTCTAATATGGATGGGTCCTCTGATAATTCAGGAGGTTACTTTCCAAGCGAAGCACATGGGAATCTTGAAGGGTTCCCCTAAAAGGAAAAGTCCAACAATCCATGTGTATTTGCCGACTTAACAGAACAGAGCAATATGATATTTAATCAAGCTGTCTTGGGCCTTCTGCCTGTGTGTCCCGGGGGTCCCAGGACCCCCAGGATGTATGGACAGGAGGCCATGGCGAGAATCCTAGCGCAACCCCTGTAGGAGCTATTCCACGACAAAACACAATAAGTAAGACCCTATCTCTCCTCGATTTCGGTGATATTGCGTAATTTCGGTCCATTCGACTTATCAGCCCTTCCAGGAAATGTCAGAATCGGAAATGTTTCTTATTTTCCGCCTTTTGATACATGATATGCGAATTTCGATGTTCCTGGCATTTAGTAACCGGTGACACCTGAAGAAAATTTTTTAACTCGCAAGCAACGTCAGCAAGAAATGCATGCAATAGCTAATATGATAGGTGTGAACAAACTCCCTATGGTTGCGCCTTCGGCGCTCTATTACCATGAATAGTGATTAATTAATTCATTTTTTTGCGAAATGGGAAACACGTATTTAGAGTACTTCCCAATTGATATACTTGACTTTTGGGGATGGACGTCTTGATTTTTATCAAAATCATTACTTTTGTGATATCTAGTGTACCTAACTTGAAATCTTTTAGTGTGCCCCTTTTTGTCAGGGTAGACAATCCATCTTGAAATACTTCCCTCCTATAATCTACGCTAATGGGACATATTTCAAAAGTAGGATTTTTCCTGTAATCAGCCATTAAACAGGTACTTCTCAGGGAAGTTTAAATGTTCTGTCTCTCTTTCGTTGGATAAAAAAAAATCAGGAAAATAGGACTGAGAAAAGTGCCCTAATGGGTTTTAACGAAATATTTTTTTCTATTGAAATGTAGACTTAGGGAACTCCATTCAACCCAGTTTCAACCTTATACGTTTCCCCTTGTTGCTGGCGGAAAAAATGTATTTAGAAAAGCGACGCACCCAAAAGCTGTGCTCTGAGGAGACGTATAGGAAAGTTTAATTTTCCCTTAAATCAACATCACGTCAGTGATGAGTCCGCCAGCTACTTATCTATGTCTGCCCGGTGAACTACATGCTCACAAAGTTTCAATATTATACATTTGCCCTTTTCGCTGATGAAAAAAAATGCTTGGAAAAGCTGACCGACACAAAAGCGATGCCCGGAGGGGATGCCCCATGAAAGCTGAATTCTCCCTCAGCTCAGTAATGTCATGCCACTTTTACGTGTGCCAAGTTTCACCTTTCCATTCCTGTCCAATCCGCCACGATCAATTTTTTTTTCTTCAAAACTTCGCCCCACGAAATAATTCCTCCAAGGGATGTAAGGAGACTTAGCATTTTTCTTTAACTCTTTGTCTCAGTAGTCACATTCATGCAACGTTTCGGCTTTCCATGTTCTTCAGTTTAACTGATACAAAGAAATTAGTTGAAAACATCTCCCTTTGGAATTTGTGCCCCAAGGGCATTTACTTCTAAAGTCTGAAGTTTTATGCAGCATCCCAATAGGTAGTTATGTACCAAGTGTAATCTTTCCACACTAGCTGAATACGCCAGGACAAATAAATACTTGAAAACGTCGCTCACAAAAATATGTCCCCAGGACAAGGATCTAAAATTTTTCATTTTTCCTGAACTCATAGTCTCGGTAGGCATGTCCGTCCCAAGTTTCAGCTTTCAATGTCTCTCCGTTTCACTCAAGCAAAAATAATGTTACGTAGGGGGAATGAGTAATTCGGCATGGAAGGCAAAAAATCCAAAATAAAGCCAAGGAATGGCCGGGAATTGAACCCGAACCTTTTGATTGCCAGTTAAAAATTCTATTACTACACCACCGAACCCAGCACGTCCGTCTGCTTCTTTGAATGCCATCCTCATAAGAAACTAAATATATTTATGAAAATCGCTTACCCCAAAAAATTTGTACCCCAAGGGCATGCACCTCCAAAGTAAGATTTTTTCTGAACTCTGCATCCCAAAAGGGACATGTGTACCAAGTTTCATATTTCTAACCCTTCTAGAACATGGTTAGAATTAGCGTCAGTCAGTCAGTGAGTCACGATCATCTATGTATATTAGATGAAACCTGAAATCTATGTATTTACCTGTGTGTAAATCTGTGTATCTGCCTTGATCATGAGCAGACCAAGACCCCGAAGAGAAAATTAGAGAACACTTTGAAGGTTTCCCTGCCATTACCTACTCAAGGGGTCAGTGATCGTGTGTGCCACTTTTTCACATCCTCGCGTTATTCCGAGCGAATTGACACCTTGATTTGGGACCTAGCATGAACCGTTCTTGAGTTGCAGGCCTTTGAAAATCGGAGTTAAGGTGGTATCCCCAAATTTTGAGCACCCTGTAGCTGTTGATCTAGTGATGCGATAACGCTGAAATTTCGTATTTCCGGGTTTCATGGAATAACGAGGTCAAATAAAAAACTTCATGAAATTCGGAGAGGGTCGGGTGTTACTCCTTGGTTGATTTTTTATGGAATGACTCACCTATAGCTTAACACTGAAGCACACATAATGAATTTGGAACTTTCGAGAAGCATATGGAAAAAGGGAGGATGGTTCGCGTCATCAGAAACTCTCCATTTCAGTTTGTAACAATATCCAATGAGTTTCATCCCAGAGCATTCTAAAGCGACACAACTCTGAAATTTTAATTTCAAACATAAATGCTTCCAATCAATTATAAGGGGATGCCTTTCGTCTGTTGGGAAACCCCAATCGCCTGTTTGCAAATGTTCAGCGAGTTCCGCTTCTTAACGTTACAGTGAGATCCGTCATTTTAATTTTAGAAATCCCTGGTGGAATATTGAAGATTTTCTGCTCGGCCGGGACGTGGATCGAGGGGCCGCATTCTACATATTATGCTTCAAGTGTAATTTTCCTCTTAGCAAGGTGCTTAGCTGGTATTTGCCCCATTCAAATGCATGGCTAAGGTTGAGCAATTTGCGTAAACTAAGTTTACGATTTTAATCGAATATAGTCTCGGCTCGATAGGACCGATCTGACCCATGTATTGGACGTGAAGTTCGGTTGACAATCTAGTTTTCGGTTGTGTGCGAGAGAATGCCTAATTTGAGACCTCTAGTTCTGAGGCTCCAAGGACAAAACAGGCTTTTTACCGATCCGTTCGGCAATCACGTTTCATGTCGAGTGTGGGCCATGACGTGTGAGAACTTCGCCGGGAAGCGTTCGGGAAGTGCCAATAAGAATGCTATTCTTATTGGCAGAAATGTGGCCACATTACTTGATAATGGTACGATTTATTTACCTTTGATCCAAGGAGTATCGTCTGCAGTCATAAGCTTACGATTGACATCTTGCTCATGAAAATCCATTCATCCTCCTAAGAGGAGTCCCGGAATGACACCCTGACATACATAGTATGTTCTTATGTATTTTGTATTTGCCTATGGATGAGACATGGCCTTGCATCAATTTAAATTTTTATGAGTTTCAGATTCAGGTATAACTGTCTTGTGCGGTTTCTCATGCCAAAGGCACACTTCACCATCCCTTTTTCTTGTACGGAATGCCCTTCATTCTGAACCGTTCCACCCGAAAATGCGCAGATCTATGAGGGTCCATTCACCCCCCTTTGTCAAATACATCATCAGAGATCTGGAGTTCTCAAGCTTAGGGTGCTGCGGGCCGGCCATGTCTCGGACTGGCCACTGGACTCACATGCAGAAAGACAGGAGTACCCTTAGAAAACACGTTCGCAGCGAACTTTCTGGACTCTTGACCCAATAAGTATCGCCTCCAGGTCATGAGCTTTCGATTGACACCTCCAATATTAAAATCCATTCATCCGTCTAGGAGGAGTTTCCCGGAGTGACAGACACACTGACAGTTTAGTCTCGTATGTATATGGATGGGTGGTACATTAAGGGGGGTAGGGAAGACCCCTCTTAGATCTACGGAGAAACGCGTTTTGTGGGGGTAGAACGCCTCGCACTTTATGGTATGATGTGTAAGTAGAAAGGGCAGCGATGTGTGCCTTTGGTATGGGTTCCGAAGCAAGACTATGACATCGCGAAATCCAAAACTTGTGAAGAAATATTCTACAATGGAAATATTTTCTTTTGTAATGGGTTTTGTGAATTTGATGTCCGGTCATCTCACACTATATCGGAGATGTCATGGAATCCCTTTTAAAAATTGTCCACTTAATTCCTAACGATCTCGGTTCATCCTCACTGCATTATCCGTGTTCAGGTGTCTCAGTCTGTATAGTTCTGGCAGGTGTGAATATCCCAATAACCAATGGATTAATATTGGGGTACTTGCACTTCATTACTTATTTCACAATTGAGTATTTGTGAATTCTCCTTTGTGAACGAGTTTTTGAATCAAACACATTTCCACGGAGATCTTCGACAACTGTTCCTTTTTTGCATCACCTGCGTGAAAATAATTTTTCTTAGCTTCAATATCTCCTGTGCGCTCTTCAATTTCTGACGAAGGATTTCCACCTCTAAGTAATGAGCATACATGGTCATCCGATACAATGATTTTATGTCCTTGTTTCCATTCTCAAGAGATGAGGAGGCCGTCTAATAATCCATTGGTTGACATGGATCGTCAGACCGTCAAATGGTCAAAAGTTCACGTTCGACGCCAAACGTGAACGTGGGAGGTTGCGTTGGATCTGAAGTCAGATTTTGTGATGGAACGGCATCTTTATTGAAGCGCCTTATTGCATTTTGATCATGATAGGAATCTAAGGAAAAGGTATGTGAGGACACAAAAGCATATCTGGGGATAAATTTTCTTCCAAGCCATTGAAGTCATATATTTCCTCTGTCTAGACATTTTGACAATTCCTGGAAGGAAATATTTCATGCCTACCTAGTCCTAACATATTCTTTGAAGATGCGATAATGCAATCATTGCCACAGCTCTTCATAACGACTACTACTAAGAGAGTGAAAGAAATGAAGGAACCTAAGAATATCATCGAAATGTACGATGTACTATGTATGTACGATGCTGCCTAGGTGGCTCTGACAAACGAGAGTAGAGGTATTACGGTTGTGAGAGACATGAGAAAGTGTGTGCGGCCTGTCTTGGTCTGAAGCAGTGAAATAGTGAGATCGTCAAGGCCAAAGCGCCCGCTTTTATAGTGGAACGTTTCGCTGACGTCATCCCATGCACAAGATTCATCCCTCCCCCCCTCTCCGACCCCTCTTGGGTGCAATACCCTGAACCTGCTATGTTATTTTCATTGTCATTGTTAATATCATTTTGTAATAGTGGTCGGGTAAACATGCTTGTGTTTGTCTGAACTAATCAAACAGCCTCAGATTATTTTGCCACCTGGTTTGAACTTTGGATAGGGTCGGCTCCCAGGGCCTTGTGCTGCGGTGACGTGGTGGGGATGAAGTAGCTGCCGTGTCTTTTCGGCACTGAATTTTGTAATCCACGAAATCTCCATTCTTGAGCAATTTCCAATAGCCCATCTTTGAGATAGAAATAAGTGAATTAATTTCCCTTTAAAAAAATGTATATAGGCGGCTCCAGGTGCATTTCTGCCATACTCCATTTCAAAACTCTACGAGTAATATTCCATTATCTTAGGTTTAATTTGAGTTCAAAAAGCTTACCTAGCTCAACTAGGACCAAAGTTTTCCTCTGAAGGTCCCATTTCCACTTGGGGGTGAAATTTCGACAAAATACCTCGGGAAGCGCTACAGCCAGAGGGCAGAAATTTTAGCATTTGTCATGATTCTTGCTGATAACCATGCATTCATTTTTTTTCAAGCGAATCGGAGTCTGAAGTGCAACGAAGATTCCGAAAATTTGATCACTTTAACTGTAATGCCTCAATGGTGTTTGCAATTTTTGCACTTGAATAATGGTTTTGCGCTAACATAAAAATAATACTATTGGGTTTCAGGATGTAATTGATATTTTCGTTCATAGCAGCTCTTCGGGTGCTAGAATTAAACTTTCGACACCATGCGCAAATAGGTGCTCAGTATGAGGTGCGGAGAAGATGGGGAGTTGCAAGCAAGGCATTCTCCATCCCCACCATATCTGGAACGTGATGGAGAACCTCCACACCTCATACCTTAGCTTTTTGTAGCTTAAAAGACCACCTGTGACGTTGAGCTTGGTTGTAAATTGGTTTCTGGTGAGCTGGTCTTGTTGAGCAAGTTTTGGGATGAAGGTCTTGTTTTGATCCAGGCCATAGACTATCATGGTCACCCAGTCGCTGTCGTTAAGGGCCCACTCTTTGTGCTTCAAATAGTTCTCTCGCTGAGTCCTGTCTCCAAAAATGGTGGTAATATTAGTGCGTCTCTTAGAAAATAGCAATTATTGAAATGAGACGGGCAATCCAACTCACTGAGCAATCTCCATATGTTCTTCGAGTAGTGCTTTAAAGTCCTTCGGGCCTTTTCTTTCAGGTGTTTTCTGCATCTTCAACTTGAAACCACAACTTTCGCAGCGCGTGAATGTCTTCTATTGCAGATGGAGACATTTAATTAATAATCACTAATACAGGGAGTCCATTAAGTTACCAGCTTCGTGAGAATTTCTTTATTGTTGACGCTTAAGGAGCCATTTTTATTGCTTGTAGACTGACAACACACTGACCTTGGAATAGTGCAATATATGTCCTACTTCCACTTTGGCTTGGCCAATAATTCTTTTCTGAGACCTGGCTCTTTTGAATTTTAAATTTGTTTGAACAGAAGAGGAACTTTGAGTGCACTTCAATGACGATATTTCCATTTGCCCTCCCTGCACAAACTTATTGTCATCGGCACGGTATTTATTAAATAATGGAGTGTTTTGGCAAATCAAAATCATAACAATTAGGTGTTTACTTGAAATAGTTGAATATGTCGACCGCCGATTTCCAGACAGTGCAAAACCCTTACACTTGCATTATTGGCAGCACCTATGAGATTTCCGTCTCTTATCTGGGTCACTGTGTGAAATACATTCTGTTTTCAATAGTTTAGATCTGTGGGCTTGTCCAAGTGAACAATAGCTTACTCGCAGTCGTTTTGGAATGCTGTATTTCTGAAACTGTAATTGAAACAACCATCCTGTAAATGACTTTTTAGCCAAACCGGAGCGGGGGAAGGCAAGATATTCCACCATTTTGAGGTTTATTGATTAACAGTCTTCACATAAAAGAAATGGAGATTCCCGAAAATTTATTAAGGAAAGTGTCACCCTTAGGGTGCCATATTATGGACACCCTGTAGAAATAGTTCAAAGTATGGCCATGAGGCAAAGCTGTTTCTATGCTTGAAAAGAGAGCCTTAATTTGTTAGTCACCCTGTCACCTACACGAGACAAATGTGCATCTCCTGCATTACATTCTCATATTTATTTATGTGCCTCTGTTAAAGTTCACAACACATACGAGGCATTATACAAGTAAGTTTGTTTGCTCTTAGGCCAAAAAAGCTCCCTATGGTCGCAGCTTCGGCGCTTGACGATCAATGAAAATGTATAGTTTATATAAAACATCTGTTTTCAATCATTGTGGTTACATTATTTTGGTCCTCCCTTTGCCGATAACAGATAGTCCCAGTGGCCATGTGGTTGATGGCGTTACTGTTTTCCAAAAGTATATAACGGGTGTCCTCAATATGTTACTGTCAGTGTTTGCATTATGACGCGTGGATTGAAGCTGACGGAGTTTGAGCATGAATTGATGGTCGCCTGTCATGTCCTCCTTCCTCCCAATACTTCTTGCAATGTAGTATACATTTTTGTATTCCTGTCGCTATACTTCTACACTGCAAGATGTCCGGGAAGTATAGTGGTATTACGTCATTAACTAACTAAAACGCTGAGATGCTTAATTTTCTTAGACAATCGTGCCAATATATGCTCTGCGTATCATTTTACCTTAACCTTTTGCTAAAATCGGCGTAGGTGAAACATTTCTCGAAAACGGACGCGATCAATAACAAAAAATTTTGCTGGAAGGGAATGGAATTAAGAGAGCAGTATTTTCCTAAGAACGATCATTCCAAAAAAATCATTTCTAACGAAGTTTTAGTTTCCCAAATCTGCCTGATTACAGAAACGAAAATGTTTAAAAATGGAATAGGGTAACTTGGGGGAATATGGACGCCAAAAATGAAATCAGGTTGTAGTGTCACGTCTAGGTGAAATGAAACTTTGCCAATATTCAGAAAATATTGATTGATGTCTCCTTTATTTATTCCCAACAAGATCCGTGCAGAAAAGTAAATGGGAAAAGAGTATTTGGGACCTCTTCACATGGGTCCCAAGAGGCCATATTACCCCTATTGTTGGGGGAATATGGCCAGGCATTAGGGGGAATATGGCCCTACAAAATGAAACCTGGTCATCATGGTCCATCAAGGTTGAATTTGACTTTTACAATGTTTCTAAAATATTG